GCGCAGGCTGGGGACAGTGTAGAGCAGTTCTGGTCGGAGGCTGGGACAGTATACAGCAGTTCTGGTTGGAGGCTTTGGACACTATAGAGCAGTTCTGGTTGGAGGCTGGGACAGTGTAGAGCAGTTCTGGTTGGAGGCTGGGACAGTATACAGCAGTTCTGGTTGGAGGCTGGGACAGTATACAGCAGTTCTGGTTGGAGGCTGGGACAGTATAGAACAGTTCTGGTCGAGGCTGAGAACAGTACAGAGCAGTTCTGGTTGGAGGCTGGGACAGTATAGAGCAGTTCTAATTGGAGGCTGGGGACAGTATACAGCAGTTCTGGTTGGAAGCTGAAGATAGTATAGAGCAGTTCTGGTTAGAGGCTGGGGACAGTATAGAGCAGTTCTGGTCGGAGGCTGGAGATAGTATAGAGCAGTTCTAGTTGGAGGCTGGGACAGTATAGAGCAGATCTGCTAGGAGGCTGGGACAGTATGGAGCAGTTCTGATTGGAGGCTGGTGACAGTATAGAGCAGTTCTGATTGGAGGCTGGTGACAGTATAGAGCAGTTCTGATTGGAGGCTGGGGACAGTGTAGAGCAGTTCTGATTGGAGGCTGGTGACAGTGTAGAGCAGTTCTAGTTGGAGGCTGGTGGACAGTGTAGAGCAGTTCTGGTAGGAGGCTGGGACAGTATAGAGCAGTTCTGATTGGAGGCTGGTGACAGTATAGAGCAGTTCTAGTTGGAGGCTGGGGAGTATGGAGCAGTTCTGGTAGGAGGCTGGGACAGTATAGAGCAGTTCTGGTTGGAGGCTGGGGACAGTATAGAGCAGTTCTGGTTGGAGGCTGGGACAGTGTAGAAAAGGTTTGATTGGAGGCTTGGGACAGTGTAAAGCAGTTCTGGTTTGAGACTGGAGACAGTATAGAGTAGTTCTTGTTGGAGGCTAGGGACAGTATACAGCAGTTCTGGCCTAGGATGGGACAGTGTAGAGGTTTGTTTGGAGGCTGGGGACAGTGTAAAGTAGTTCTGGTTGGAGGCTGGGACAATGTAGAGAAGGTTTGATTGGAGGCTGGGGACAGTGTAGAACAGTTCTGGTTGGAGGCTGGGGCAGTGTAGAGGGGTTTGATTGGAGGCTTGGGACAGTGTAGAGGAGGTTTGATTGGAGGCTTGGGACAGTGTAGAGGAGGTTTGATTGGAGGCTTGGGACAGTGTAGAGGTTTGATTAAAGGCTTGGGACAGTGTAAAACAGTTCTGGTTGGAGGCTGGGGACAATGTAGAGGAGGCTTGGTTGGGGGCTGAGGACAGTATGGTGGTTTGTTTGGGGATTGGGGACATTATAGAGGATAGTGCGGAGGGGATCTGGTTGTAGGTCAGGAAATCAATGGAGGGGATATGGTTGGGGGCTGAGGAATGAACGGAGGGGATCTGATTGGAGGGCGGGGAATGGAGGGGATCTGATTGGAGGGGATCTGGTTTGAAACCAAAGAAAGAAGGGAAATGGTTGGAGGCTGAGGAATGAATGAATGGAGATCTGGTTGGAGGGAGGGGAATTGAGGGAATCTGGTTGTGGGTTGGGGAACTAATGGAGATTTGGTTGGAGGACAAGGTCAGTTTGGTTGGAGGCCGAGGAATGAAAGGAGATCTGGTTGAAGGGAGGGGAATTGAGGGAATCTGGTTGAAGGCCAAGGAATGAATGGAGATCTGGTTGTGGGTTGGGGAACTAATGGAGAAGATTTGGTTGGAGGCCAAGGTCAGTTTGGTTGGTGGCCGAGGAATGAATGGAGATCTGATTGGAGCCCGGAGGACTAATGCAGGAAATTTGGTTGGAGGCCAGGGAATAAAAGGAGATCTAGTAGGAAACTGAGGACAGAGTGGAGGCCGGGGCGGTGTGGTTAGAGGCTGAGGACAGAGTGGAGGCAGGGGCGGTTGTGGTTGGAGGCTGAGGACACAGTGGAGGCCGGGGCGGTGTGGTTGGACGCTGAGGACAGAGTGGAGGCCGAGGACAGAGTGGAGAGACGGGGCGGTGTGCTTGGAGGCTGAGGACAGAGTGGGGGCCGGGGCGGTGGGGTTGGAGGCTGAGGACAGAGTGGGGGCCGGGGCGGTGAGGTTGGAGGCTGAGGACAGAGTGGGGGCCGGGGCGGTGTGCTTGGAGGCTGAGGACACAGTGGAGGCCGGGGCGGTGTGCTTGGAGGCTGAGGACACAGTGGAGGCCGGGGCCATCAGGTCCAAAGCAGGGTCACGGAGACCGCAAGCAATGTATAGAGGGGAGGGGTCGCGCTCGGCGTCTCCCGTAACAACGCCCCGCCCCGTTGCCCGTGCAGTCGGGTCGCTGGTTCGTCACTTCCGGTGGAGCGCTTCTAGACGTGTGGCGGAGGCGGCGGCTGGAGCGGAGAGTAGAGAGACGGACAGAGCCGGGACGCGGCCTCCCCCCAGCACACAGCGCCACCCCCCCCGCCCCGAGTCTCCCAGCCATGGGCAACGCCGCCACCGCCAAGAAAGGGAACGAAATCGAAAGCGGTGAGTGCGGCCTGAGAGGCCCAGAGACCCCGGGGGGAACGGCTAGGAAACACCGAGGCTTCATGGACACACATAGGCCGCGGCCCCGGAGGAGGTCATGTCCCTCTAAGGAGGCCCCGGGGAGCAGCCATTGCCCATAGGAACCAGTCCAGGCCTCTCATACTAGTGAAGGTGATCGGTTACCATGAACAACAGCTTCCCCCTCCATACATCACAGGGGGCCGAGGTGGAGTGTTGCCCATAGCAACCAGGCTGCTGCTCATTGACAGAAGTCATGTGGTTTCCGCTGTTCATGGTGTCTCTGCACACAGAGGGCTCCTTCACCCCAATCCCAGAGAACCGTCACCAATAAAACGATTCCTTCCTGCGGTCTCACTCCTCCGGCTTCACTTTTCATCAGTCAGCCTTTGTTTACATGAAGAGTGGAACCGATCCTAGTGTCACAATCTGATTGTACGATCTCCGTGCATGCCTAGTATTGCCTTACACCATACAATCTCGTTGTACAATCTGTCCGATTTGTCAAAGCTGTGTGATATGAAGACAAACATAAACATTCAGATTGTATCCGGTCAGGCAGGCCCTTGCCTAGTTGATGGTGATTGTACAATCAGACTGTATAGTGTATGCTTCACTCGAGGCTTATCAAATCTGTTCAGTTAAGCCGTTCATACACCATGCAATCTCATTGTACAATCTCATGGTGAACTGTGTAATACGCAGACAAACCTAAACAATTTTTTTAATTGGTATCCAATCAGACCGGCCCATATATTACATAGTTAATGGTGTTGCCTAAGGAGAATGTACAATGTACTGGGCAGCACAGTGGCTAAGTGGTTAGCACTTCCACCTGGCAGTACTAGGGTCGTTGGTTCGAATCCCAGCCACAGCACCACCTGCTTGGAGTTTGCATGTTCTCCCTGTGCCTGTGTGGGTTTCCTCCAGTCTCCTCCCACACTCCAAAGACATGCTGGTAGGTTAATTGGCTCCTGTCTAAACTCTAGTATTGTGAATTAGGGACCTTAGATTGTACGCCCCTTGAGGGTTAGGGACTGATGTGAATGTACAATATATATGTAAAGTGCTGCGTACATTGACGGCGCTATATAAGTACCTGAAATAAATATTTAGATTGTATAGTGTATAGCCGTCTTAAAGTGGAGTTCCAGTCAAAACCAAGCTAAGCCTAAATCTCCTCCCACCCCCATTAGAAGTCTATTCTATGTGCTCTGTGGAAGGAAAGATGTCTATACTTACCTTTTCTGATGTCCCTCCGGTCACATGATCGCTTTCCAGCGTCGGCTTCAGTGTAGAGGAGGGACAGCTGACAACGGCTGCCCCATATTAGCCTATGGGTGACACCACTGCCCGGGCATTTTAGCCATTGTTGGTTATGTCTCCTCTGCACTGAAACCAATGCTGGAGAGACCATGTGACCAGACTGGTGTAACTTCACAATAAGTATAGACCTTTCTATTGAAAATGATCACCAGTTTGCCTATAGAAAGAAGGTGATTGCAGCCGTATTAGTGCATTGAGTACTGTCCGTGATACTTTTTTTTTATTTGCGCTAACATACAATTTTGAGGACAAGATTTCGGGGAGTGTCCCCTTCTTCAAAGTCCAATTAATAATGTAATAGTACTGTTTGGACTTTGAAGAAGGGGACATACCCTGAAAGCTTGTCCTCAAAATTGTATGTTAGTGCAAATAAAAAAAAGTATCACGGACAGTACTCAACTGTTCCTATAGAAAGAAAAAAATGCCAAAAATTATAATTGACTTCAGTGCAAAGTCACGTCCCAATGACTTCAGTGCAAAATTACCTCTATTTAAAGTGTTACTAAACCCCCCCCTGGGCCCGGCGTTCAGTATGTCCGGTCTCCCCGGGCCCTGCGTTCAGTATGTCCGGTCTCCCCGGGCCCTGCGTTCAGTATGTCCGGTCTCCCCGGGCCCGGCGTTCAGTATGTCCGGTCTCCCCGGGCCCGGCGTTCAGTATGTCCGGTCTCCCCGGGCCCGGCGTTCAGTATGTCCGGTCTCCCCGGGCCCCCCGGCGTTCAGTATGTCCGGTCTCCCCGGGCCCGGCGTTCAGTATGTCCGGTCTCCCCGGGCCCGGCGTTCAGTATGTCCGGTCTCCCCGGGCCCGGCGTTTCACTACGTCCGGTCTCCCCGGGCCCGGCGTTCACCTACGTTCAGTCCGGTCTCCCCGGGCCCGGCGTTCACTACGTCCGGTCTCCCCCGGCGTTCAGGGCCCCCGGCGGCGTTCACTACGTCCGGTCTCCCCCCGGGCCCGGCGTTCACTACGTCCGGTCTCCCCGGGCCGGGCCCGGGCGTTCACTACGTCCGGTCTCCCCGGGCCCGGCGTTCACTACGTCCGGTCTCCCCGGGCCCGGCGTTCACTACGTCCGGTCTCCCCGGGGCCCGGCGTTCACCGGCGTACGTGTCCGGTCTCCCCGGGCCCGGCGTTCACTACGGTCCCCCGGGCCCGGTTCCCCGGGCCCGGCGTTCACTACGTCCGGTCTCCCACAGTACACACAACATGGAAATGCAATTATTTTAGTAAATATCAACTGCTCTAAATACCTTTTTCTCATCAGTAGTCTTGTGACTTCTATCAGTGTCCAGCTGAGCACTGGTTAAAGCTTGTAGGAGTTTTCAATCTATCTGCACAGTGTTGATTGGCCCTGTGCTGATCACATGCACTCTTCCAAGGAAAAAAAAAAAAACCCCTAGCAATACACACCAAACGGAGCATGTGCAGAGTGTCTCCACACAATATGTCTTATCAGGAGATAAGAGGGGGGCACTGGAAGAAGGGGAGGATCAGAGAAGACCGGATCAAACAGCCTTTTTAACAATGCGCAGAGGGTTAACCCCTTAGTTTCCACAGTGTTTTGCCGTGTTTTTTCAAGTTTGCTTTTATTTTTTGGTCTAAAAAAGTCCAAAAACGCTGATTTGCAGTGATTTACCGCATTTCCAGCATTAAAATGTTTTTACAGCTAAACTCCTCTAGAAACCCTCTAGTTCTGGTTTTTTTTTTTTCCAGCCAAAACACCCCAGCCAAAAAACGTTGATCCAGTCTATGTGTGTATGGACACAGGATAACATGCTGGGGGGTTTACTGGCTGTAGAAAAAACGTCAAAACCAAAAACCGCCGCTGTAAAAACATCCCCTGTGCATGAGGACTAACAAGCATGCAGACTGATGGTACTGTTGTGGGTTTAGTAACACTTTAAGTTTTAAAATTTTAATTTATATATTTTATGTCCATTTTTTGTTACTTTCAATAAGTTATTTTATGTAACTTGATTGTATTGAAATTCATATTTATTTTAATTAATGTTATTAATTTAAAAAGTCCAATATAATACACATATATAAATCTTTTTTTGTTTTTTTTGGGGTTTTTTTCCTGTCCGTTTTTTGGATTTCAGCCTGAATTTTGGGTTTCGTTCCATTGCTTCTTTCTCTTACAGGGTAGATAGAAGAGCAGATTTATGCCGGCCATAGACGGGTCAAAAATCGTCCGATTCTTCGGCCAAAAAAAAAAAAATCGACCAATTTTTGCACTGTTAGTGGGTTAATTGGTTGGCCATTTTTTGAGTTTTTTGCACAGTTTTTTTTATCGGTCATGTTGGAAAATTGGAAAATGCTGGCCATAGATGGCTTAGTAAGAGCAGATTTATGCCGGCCATGGATGGGTTGAAAATCAGTCATGTTGGAAAATTTGCGGCCGATTTTCCCGGCAATGATGGGCAAGTCGGCCGATTGTTTTACCGATAAAAAATCCACGCATGAGCCGTGACCTGCAAGGGACAGAAGTTATGGGGTGAACTTTATGATTTAGTCGGCCAATTTTTTTTTGCCGTTGGTGGTAACGTCGAACAAACGACCGATTTTTTTTTTTTTTTTTTTTTTTTTTTTTTTTTTTTTTTTTTTTTTTTTTTTTTTTTTTTTTTTTTTTTTTATCGCCCGATTTTCGACTCGTCTATGGCCTGCATAGGCTTAGTTTGGTTTTGACTGGCATTACACTTTCAGCTGGCCAGGCACTATTACAGTGTGATAGTACAACCTCCTTTAGATCTACTAACCACTATATAGGGGGCCAGCCTTATTGGATGGATTAGTTAGGTCCTCTAAATATCTAAAGTTGATTGTAACCTGTATGCTGGCCATGTATGGATCAAATGTTGGCCAGTTCAGCAGGAACCAGGAGACTTTTGATCCATGTATGGGCAGAAGTTTATCTACCAATTTTCCCTGCTTGATCAGAGACGCAGGCTATAGACCACAGCGCTGATCAGTGTATTCTGATGATAGGGATGTCTCCCTGCTGTCAGAATACAATAGTTCAGCAGTGATGATTCCCCCATCCACATCGAGTGTGTGTATGGTGGAATCGGGTCAGTTTTTTTCCATTAAACCCCCGCTGCTTGTTTTTTTTTTTTTTTTTTTTTTTTTTTTTTTTTTTTTAAACCAACTAGTGTGGGTAGCCTTAAGCTTAGTACACATAAGAAAAGCAGATGAAAAATACCGCTTTCAGAGCGTCCAATAATGTGATTGCTAGTTTCGAGAACCGATGCGAAGGGACAAGCGCAGAAATGTTTCTTGTACAATAACAGAACAAACTGTTTTCATTTAATCCGTATAGTAAATTCAGTGATGGAGACCACACATGCTCGGAAAAGATTGTGTATTCTGTCATACGAGAATTTAACTTTAACAACCTCTTCATTTTCAATATGAGACTAGCAAATGAAAAAAACAAAAGACAATCTTTGTTTTGATAATCTTGTCGTGTGTATGAGGCTTTAGGTTTACCAACATTTGTGTGGTGTGAGGAAAACGATCGGTGTATATCCAGTGTGACAGTCAATCATGCTGCATACAATGCCTTGCAAAAGTATTCATACCCCTTGAGATTTTCCACATTTTGTTATGTTACATCAAAATGTGTTTTATTTGGATGTTATGTGATAGACCAACACAAAGTGGCAAATAATTGTGAAGTGGAAAGAAAATGATAAATGGTTTTCAAAATGTTCTACAAATGTGAAAACTGTGGCGTCGTCCCCCCCCCCCCCCTTGTAGAAACACCTATCACTGCAATTCCAGCTGCAAGTCTTTTTGGGGATGTCTCTACCAGCTATGCACTTCTAGAGAGTGAAATGCTTTCCCATTCTTCTTTGCAAAATAGCTCAAGATCTGTCAGATTGGATGGAGAGCGTCTGTGAGAGCGCCATTCTAACACATCAATATTCTTTGATCTAAACCATTCCATTGTAGTTCTGGCTGTATGTTTTGGGTCATGTCCTGCTGGAAGGTGAACCTCCGCCCCAGTCTCAAGTCTTTTGCAGACTAACAGGTTTTCTTCTAAGACTGCCCTGTATTTAGCACCATCTAACTTTCCATCAACTCTGACCAACTTCCCTGTTCCTGCTGTGAAAAGCATCCCTACATCATGATACTGCCACCACCATGGTTCACGGTTGGGATGGTGGGTTCGGGGTTGATGTGCAGTGTTAGTTTTCCGCTACACATAGCATTTTTTCTTTTAGGCCAAAAAGTTACGTTTTGGTCTCATCTGACCAGAGCACCTTCTTCCACATGTTTGCTGTGTCCCCCACATGGCTTCTCACAAACTGCAAATGGGACTTCTTATGGCTTTCTTTCAGCAATGACTTTCTTCTTGCCTCTCTTCCATAAAGACCAGATTTGTGGAGTGCACGACTAATAGTTGTCCTGTGGACAGATTCTCCCACCTGAGCTGTGGATCTCTGCAGCTCCTCCAGAGTTACCATGGGCCTTGTGGCTACTTCCCTGATTAATGCTCTCCTTGTCCGGCCTGCCAGTTTAGGTGGACGGCCATGTCTTGGTAGGTTTGCAGTTGTGCCATACTCTTTCCATTTGCGGATGATGGATTGAACAGTGCTCCGTGAGATGTTCAAAGCTTGGGATATTTTTTTTATAACCTAACCCTGCTTTAAACTTCTCCACAACTTTATCCCCAACCTGTCTTCTTTGTCCTTAAGCCTGGGTTCACACTGATGCGGTGCGGAATTTGCAGCAGTTTCTCTGCGAATTCTGCACAGCATCACAATCGCACTCTGTTCATGTGAACCGCTACGGGTTTGTATGTTAACACCCCAAAATCAGTCCACAAAACGCAGTGTGATATGCAGAATCAGATCACATGGGTGTGAATACCCATGCAATCCGATTCTAGTGCAAGTGTATGGTCCAAACGCACACGTTCCTGCTTTAAAAATGTGTGTATAAGTGGGTGCTGCAGCGACCGTCGGCTGGAACCAAACAAAATCAGCAAGGGAGATTGTCACCAGCACACCGAGGATCACCAATATGGGTCCAAAGGTTTTAATGAACGATCACATAGTTACAGCAAGGCAACGTTTCGGAGTCTCGCAGGACCCCTTCATCAGGCATGTGACGATTCTAGTGCAGACCAAAAAAAAAAAAAGTCTTGCTCCTTTTTGATGCGGTGTGATTTGAAGCATACAAAATGTACGGCTCAAATCACGTCACAGAGAATTTGATGTGATTTGCACAGGAATGCGGTATGCCGCACCGCACAAGTGTGAAACCAGGCTCATGATGCTGTTTGTTCACTAATGTTCTCTAACAAACCTCTGAGGGCTTCACAGAACATCTGTGTTTATACTGAGATTAAATTACACACAGGTGGACTCTATTTACTAATTAGGTGACTTCTGAAGGCAATTGGTTCCACTAGATTTTAGTTAGGGGTATCAGAGTAAAGGGGCTCAATACAAATGCACTCCACATGTTTCAAATATTTGTAAAAAAAAACTATCATTTCACAATTATCTGCCACTTTGTGTTGGTCTATAACATAAAATCCCAATAAAATATATTTACGTTTTTGGTTGTAACAGGACAAAATGTGGAAAATTTCAAGTGGTATGAATACTTTTTCAAAGCACTGTAAATGTTATGGAGATTATACAATCAGATTGTAGCTTAAGTGGCCGATCTAAATTTGTTTCTAAAGCCATTTTTTTTACCATTTGGGTATGGGAGGGTTAAACCCCTGCCAGGTTATTTGTCATCTATTCAGGAGATTCACTTCCTGTCCTATCCCTACATCAGGTAGAGGGGAGAGATGAATGTTTTTGGCTAGATTCCACCTGTGTATTCACATCCAAAACCTTCCACAGGTTGAAGGGGGGGGTGGAGGAGGACAGGAATCCTGGAACTCGCATTGTGCACATTGATGTGTATAATTTGGCTTTTCACGTGTTTTCATCAAGCATTGCATTGAATGTCGTGTGTCATGGTGGGTTATGGTGCAGAAATGTGCTTTTTGGTGAGTGCCTTATCACATGCACCGAGATGGTTTTTGATGCATTTCCAATTACTTCGCACTTCTGTGGTGCGGTTTTCCTGTACTGCAGGTGCAGCACAACTAGCCCGCATGTTTGGAGCGGTTTAGCTATGCTTTCCCATACAGTTATATTGTGTCCCGCTGGTGTGCTTTTCCAAAGTGCACCAAAAGATGCCACATGCTAGCGTTTTAGTGTGCTTTCAAACACGCTGGTAAATTGCGCTACACCCATGGTGCGGGAAAAACTGCACCACAGAAGTGTTAAAGCAGCCTTAAAGTAGGGGAATTCCTTCTTGGTCTGTTGTTCCCAAGAAGTGTCCCCGCTGGAAGATTTCCTCTCGACTCCTGTGCTGGTGACAACTTGAGTTTTCCATCACTTTCATTCCTGGTGACCGTGATCACTGGCACAATTGAGAATGTGAATCTGGCCATTGAGGTCAGACAACAGTAAAACCTCACAGGGGTTCGAAGTCCTCTTCACTCTATCGAAACGCGTGCGTATACAAGGGTTGGACAAAAATATGTAAACGCTACATGGTTTTCAGGTGTGAAAGTGACATGTTTCGTGTTGAATGTGGAAGTGATGAAACATTCTTTTGATTCTGCTGTGTGATGAGACACCTAGCTAACAGGTGGAAAGCCTCACTTTTGTCATTCACTGCGTGCGCGTCTAGTAATACAAAGTCATGTCAGAGCTTACTGAGCTTCAAAGAGGGAAAATTGTTGGTGCCTCTGTGACTGCTGCTGTTGCCAATGTATTTACCGTGTTGTAAGGTACTGTATCAAAGGTTATGTCAGCATATACAGTTTCTGGGAAAAACGCTGTCTGACGAGCATAAGTGCGGTCGACATAGTCAACTGA